GAGTTTAGTCGGGGTCGGGGGCCGGAGCTAGTCGGGGGGACTTTAGTCGGGGTCGGGGGCCGGAGCTAGTCGGGGGGACTTTAGTCGGGGTCGGGGGCCGGAGCGAGTCGGGTGACTTAGTCGGGTCGGGGGCCGGAGCTAGTCCGGGGAGGAGTTTTAGTCGGGGTCGGGGGCCGAGCTAGTCGGGGGCAGCGAGTTTAGTCGGGCTCGGGGGCCGGAGCTAGTCGGGGGGACTTTTGTCGGGGTCGGGGGCCGGAGCTAGTCGGGGGGAGCGAGTTTAGTCGGGGTCGGGGGCCGGAGCTAGTCGGGGGGAGCGAGTTTAGTCGGGGTCGGGGGCCGGAGCTAGTCGGGGGGAGCGAGTTTAGTCGGGGTCGGGGGCCGGAGCTAGTCGGGGGGACTTTAGTCGGGGTCGGGGGCCGGAGCTAGTCGGGGGGACTTTAGTCGGGGTCGGGGCGTTTACTACAAGACCTCAGAACAATTTATGCAGCCATCGAGCCAATGGGAACGCTGCAACCAGGACTTCCTTCCCCTGCCCTGCTACCTGCGGGATGGCCACTAGTAGTAACAGACTTGAAAGATTGTTTTTTTACAATCTTTTTACATCCAGAAGATGCGCCCCGCTTCGCCTTTTCAGTTCCAGCCTACAATCATGCGGAACCCATGCAAAGACACCAGTGGACAGTGCTGCCTCAGGGCATGGAAAACAGCCCGATGATTTGTCAAACAGTGGTAGCCAACATCATGCACCCTGTTCAAAAACTCCCCCCTTCAGCCATCATCTCTCATTACAGAGATGACATCCTGATAGCAGCAAAACACGGGACCGAACTACAATCCACCTTGACTGCCTTAACTGACGCCACCCAAAAAGCAGGTCTGCAGCTTGCCCCAGAAAAAATTCAACGCACCCACCCTTGGACCTACCTCGGATGGAGGATCACTCAACAGGAAATCATGCCACAACCACTGACTTTCAAAGTAACGGACACTGACCCTGAATGATTTGCAACGGCTTTTAGGAGCCATTAACTGGCTGAGGCCTGTCTGGGGGATCACAACAGAGGAATTGCACCCCCTCTTCGAGCTACTTTAAGGTGACTCCTTCCTTCGAGATGTCACTAATCCTCACTTATTCACAGAAATTCGTACCATATGGTTTCTTATCAACCACAGAAAATTTGATTTTTACATAATGCACACTCGGTCACAAACAGAACTTCCAGGACCCAGAGCAGAGGGCAATCAAAAAGCTGATGCAACTGCTATGGTAACCACAGTTCCCAAAATTCTGGAACAGGCTCAACTCTCGCACCAGTTCTTCCACCAAAATGCACGTTCATTAAAGAGACAATTCCAAATTACAATAAACCAGGCCAGAGACATAATTCTGTCATGCTCTGACTGCCAGTGAATTACCCCAATGCCAGCTAAGGGAGGGGTTAATCCCAGGGGCATAACAGCCAATGAAATCTGGCAGACAGACGTTACACACATCGCTGAATTCGGTAAACTAGAATATGTCCATGTTACAGTAGACACACATTCCAGATACATTAATGCAACAGCACACACGGCAGCAAAAGCCAAAGACGTTATCAGACACTGGCTCAGTTGTTTCGCAATCCTAGGAATTCCAAAAACCATAAAAACTGACAATGGCCCTGCTTATTGCTCTAAAAAAATCCGAACATTTCTCACAGACTGGGGGGACTCCATTCCATAGGTACACTGCACTCACCCACAGGACAAGCGATTGTAGGAAGAGCTCACCGTACACTAAAAGAAATGCTTCAAAGGCAAAAAAGAGGGGAGTCGGTATATAGCCCCCAGGAACGCTTATGGAAAGCGTCAGATGTCCTAAATTTCTTAAACTGTGACGATACAGACCATAGCAGGTATGAAAGCCAACATAAAACTCAAATACTTTCATCTTCCAAACCACCAGTTATGATCCAAGATCTAATATCTGGGCAATGGTCAGGACCAATAGATCTCATAACATGTATCCAAGGGTACCAAATTACAATGGGTCCCTTCTAGATGTGTCAGGCCTTACATTAGTCCTCCACCACAACAAGAACAAACACCAGAAGAAATAAGTGAAGGATTTGGATTAGAAGAAACATGACCAACAATAGTAAACACATCACAGAGAAAGAAAAGAAAAAAAATAAGGGGGGGAAAGAGTTATGGGTCTGTTCCCTCTGTGTGTAAATCTACATTAACATTTTCTTAAAACAGGGATAATCACAAAGAAGCAATAAATGATACAACAGAACCAAAAGAAACACATAAACAGTAACCAATACAGAACCAAAACTCCACGAGTCAAACACAATAAAGGGTTTAAGAGTGTATGTGTAAGGGAGAATGAAACAGTGGCCACCGGAGCATGAATGAGAAAGTTGAGTGGACACATGTATGTGTGTGTGAACGCAAGTACACTTCATAGCAAGACATCTTAAACACTACTTCAAACAACACCACGTCAGACACATCTACAACCCAACACATTTCCCTTTTCAATAAAGATGATGCCATTACACAAAGTCACCCTCAGATAAGAGGTTATCCACACCTACAAACCCCGGGTAATTTGAGATTGTTTGAATATTGCACGAACCAATAAAGTTGTAAACAGTTCAATAAAGGCCTTGTGACGATAGGCCCTGTTTTTTATAATTAGTTGCAGTAAGATTAGTTATAATAAGAATGTTAAAAATGCATTGTTTCTCAACTTGTTAATAAAAAGAGGGGGGAGATGTGGCAGGAAGAATGTAGCAATGAAACATGGGAGTTGTGGTCTCCCGGGTTCTCAGACAATATTTGATTGTCATTGGTTAGAGGGTCACGTGACATGTTCAGGTGTGGTATTTAAACCTTGCCAGTTTGAATAAACGGTAATTCTGCTCTGGCACTTGTTCGTGTCTGAGTGGGGTTCGTGCCTTGAACAGCACCTCACCTGCACTCGTGAATCCAGTGATACAAAGTAAGCCCTTCCTTTGATGTGTCCAAATAACCTGTCCCAGGATACCCACTGCACCAGACTAATTGCAAAAATCCCTCCAGGTGAGGCACAGACTTGCACCCACTCCCAACCCCTCTCTGGGTCTTTGCCCTGCACTTATCTTGCCGAGAGCAGGGGATGCCAATCCATCTTGGATGCACAGGAGGAGCACCAGGGCTGCCTCAGAGGTTCCTGCCATCGTCACACTACTCGGAGTCAGCTGTGAGAAAGAAAACCAGACACCAGATCTGAGTAGTGTGGCACGAGGCCCCAGCCCCCACGATCCCTCTACTCACTGTCACCCAGGCAGGGCCTCGGGTCACTGACTCTGACCAGACTTGGACAACGTGCTGTCATCTTCTGGGATACCTGAGAGAGAGAGAGAGAGACAAAATTAGAGGGCATCTCTAAAGCTGCAGTGGATCCCCGCTCCTCCTGCTGCCTGCCTCCCCAACTCACCTACAAGGCTCCTCTCTCTTCAGCTGCTCCCAACACCGCCCCTGCAAATGAAATGGGCAAATGCTCAAACACTCAGCTCTCAAACATTCAGGGATTGCTCACAACAAAAGCCAAAAACCTCTAAACCCTACACACTCTCTGCTACTCTACTTAGCTGGGACCCTACACACCCCAGCAGGGCATCGCAAGACCATCCTGCTCACAGACTGGACAGCCATCGGCTCCACTGTCTAAGGGAACTGACGTTGATGTCAGACTCTGAGCAATATTCTATCTACCCACTGATCCACGGAGCAGGGCAGAGCAGGTCCAGGCTGACCCCAAGTGACACACCCCACACCTGTGACCACACACACCACGTGACACAATTAAGAGACGAAGGACACAAAACACGGACAAGACAAAGGACATGACACAGACTGGAACTGCTCTGCCCTGCACACGGGAATCCAGCGATACAAAGTAAGCCCTTCCATTGATGTGTCCAAATAATCTGTTATAGGATACCCACTGCACTGGACTCATTTCAAAAATCCCTCCAGGTGAGGCACACACTTGCTCCGACTCCCAACCCCTCTCTGGGTCTTTGCCCCGCACTTATCTTTCCGAGAGCAGGGGATGCCAATCCATCTTGGATGCACAGGAGGGGCACCTGGGCTGGCTCAGAGGTTCCTGCCACTGTCAGACTACTAGCAGTCAACTGTGAGAAAGAAAACCAGACACCAGATCTGAGTAGTGTGGCACGAGGCCCCAGCCCCCACGATCCCTCTACTCACTGTCACCCAGGCAGGTCCTCGGGTCACTGACTCTGACCAGACTTGGACACTGTGCTGTCATCTCCTGGGATACCTGAGAGAGAGAGAGAGACAAAATTAGAGACCATCTCTAAAGCTGCAGTGGATCCCCGCTCCTCCTGCTGCCTCCCCGACTCACCTCCAATGCTCCTCTGCTCCCAAAGGTTACCTGGATGGCACCTGCAATCCAAAAAGCTCAGTGCTTCGTTGCTGATCCTTTCAATACTCGGAGATCACCTACAAGGGCAGCTCCAGAGGACCAAACTGTGTCCGTCACCTCACTGTGAGTTGGCTTCGGCCCTGTGAGGCTGTGTACATCTCCTGCAAAAAAACCCAGAGGCAAGTGTGAGTACTGAGATACTGCCCAAGAGTTTGCTGCTCCCGTGGCAGCTTCTGTCTGACACCCCTTGACCGTGACCTCTTACAGGCAGGGTCCCCGTCACGTTGGACTGCGCGTTAGAAGTCTGTGCACTGCCTGTAAAACAAAAAACCAAGGATGTACACAGATTCACCACAAGTACACCACCTGCAAAAGAGCAGCTAGTTTTGTCCTGCAGTCACTGCTCACCTTCCTCACCGGGCTCACCTTCCCTCTGGTGCCTGTCATCTGTTGGGCCGAGGGCTCTGCATCTTAAAAAAAAACAAAAAACCAAAACTAAACCACCAAACCATCCAAATGATCAGTAAACCTAGGCCCAAAAGACATGTCTTGGCTCTGACCTCACATGACAACCCACCTTCTGACTGTGCTCCTCCAGCCTCCTCTGTTCATCTCTGCTTTACATCCAGTCCATCTGATGCTGCAAAGAAATGAGTTAGCAAAGTCAGCCACATAGACAGGGGGACCTTAACTGCTGTGCAATTCTAATTTCTCCTTAGACAAGCCCTCTGCGGTCCAAAGACAACCTGCACAAACAAACACTGACCTCACTTTAAGGCCCTGCCCTCAGTGCCTGAGCCTATCCACAGGGGAACTGGGAGGTCTCCTTTCTACTCCACCTACCCCCAAGTCTACACTGCAGGGCAGAGCAGTTCCAGGCCCAACACAAACTCCAAGGACACATTTCCAGACAAGGGCTGTGGTGCAACCAGGAGAGAGAACTCTGAGAAAAGAACGACGCCAAAACGGATGTGCTGCCGCACGAGAAGACGGAGGATACGGCGAGACTGAACGGAGGAGGCTCTGAGGAGCCTGAAAAGACACTCGAACAGAATGGCCTGGGACAAGAACTGCCTACAAAATTGCTGAGATGGATGGGAGACAAGGCTATGCTCAGAATCTTCTTAGATTCTCACAAGTCCCAGGTGGGATGACAAGGGATGACTGCACGGCACAGCCACCGATACAACCTGTGAGGAGGCTGTAAAAGACACCTGACCTGACACTTCTCAGATGCGATTCCGATGCACGTCCAAGCTAGTGAGCCAAAGAACGGATGGTATGGGCACTGGGCTGGGCAGTGCAGAGGTTCAACACTCTAGGAATGATGCCTTGGCATCTCAGATAAGACCTTGGAGTGTAGGAAGCAAAGACACCCTGACTGTGAATTGTAAGACACGAAACACAGACCGGACAAAGGACACGACACAGACCTGAACTGCTCTGCCCTGCACATCCTACTCCATGATGAAAAGTAAACTGCTCCTCCTATGTGTGCCAAGGGCCTGTTAGGGCAGACCCTTTCCCCTCTGCTCATTTGACAATCCCTCCCTCCTAACCATAAAACTGGACCCAGCTCCCATCCCCTCTCCAGGTGGGAGTCCTCCACTTATCTTTCCCACAGCTGGGGATGTGAATCCATCTTCGATGCCAAGGAAGGACGCCCGGCTGGCTCAGAGGGTCCTGTGATCCCTGACTCGGTCGCTGGGAGAAAGAAAACAGAAACTGAGACAAGAGTTGGGCAGCACGTGGGAGATAACCCTGCAATTGGCTACTCACCCTCCCCTGAGCTGAGAGGTTCTCAGGCCACTGGCTCCGACCCCAGTCGGAGGCTGCTGCCATCACCGTGTGCCATACCTGGGGGAGTGAGGAAAAAGGTTACGTGGTGTTTCTGAAAGTAAGGGAGACCCCAGCACCTCCTCCCTACCTCCCTGACTCAACCTCAATGCTCCTCCATTGCCAAAGGCAGGCTGGATGGCACCTGCAGCTGGGAAAGCTCCAGCCTTAATTGATGACCCTGGTAGTACTAGGAGATTACTCACAAGGACAGCTGAAGACCATCACACCTAACTGGCAGGTGGCTCCAGCCCTCTGAGGCTGCACACATTCTCTGCAAAGTAAAGAAGCCAAAGGCAAAGGTACAGACTGAGGTACTGCCTGAAAGGATGGCTTTCCTGGGGGAGCTCCTACCTACCTCTCCTCCACAGTGACCTCTCACCAGCAGGGGCCCTGAAGCACTGGACTGTCTGTGAGAAGGTGGCAGAACCCCTGGAAAACACAAGAAACAAAGCATGTGCACAGATTCACCACAACACCTGTAAAAGACCATCTAGTCCTGTCCTGGAGTCAATGCTCACCTTGCTCACTGGTACTCATCCGGATCACCTCCCCTCCGGTGCCTAGAGCCTCCTGGGGCCAGGGCTCTGCAGCTGAAAACAAAGAAAAAA